TACATATATGGGGTATCTTTTGTTTCCACCTTTAATTATAGGGAATCATGCTATTGGATAGAGTTTTGTTAGGCTTTCAAAACAAAGTAACCAAACATACCAACTCACAGTAGGGTAGTCATTTGACCAGAGATTTTTAAGACATCCAAATGACTAGGTCTAAATGCCAGGTATTCCAAATCTAGCTACCGGATGCATCCTATCCTATCAGATTAGTTTCATCCCAAATCTATTTACTGCATCGTATTCTCTTCATTTATATTTATTTTTCTTTCTTCCTTTTATTATTGCTGTTGTGTTTTACATTTTCTGTTTGTTAGTTTTGTTTTTATGGTATCAGCATTTGAATTCAGGTCTTTATGCCTGCTAGGCCGAAGCCCTGATGCTTGAAGCATGCCTCCAGATTTGTTTTTCTAATTATTTTTGAGATAATGACCCACTGTTTTTCTCCCTGGGACTAGCCTGGAATGAAAATCCTCCTATTTGTACTTCTGGTAGTAGTAAATATGGTAGGTATGAGATACATAGCAAGATAGGGGCTTGCATTTTTTAATTTTTACATTTATTTATCTGTTTTTGCCTAGGTTGTCCTAGTATTAAGATCCTCATAATCTCAGTCTTCCACATAGCTGAGATGAGTGGTAGGCTTTTTCCAATGAGTTACAAACTTGATAACTTTTTTTCCCAAGCTGGCTTTTAATTTTAATTTTCCTAATCCCTACTTCCTAAGTAGCTAGGATACTGGAATGGGATGCTACACCTGGCTTACAGACCTATGTTTTAAGGAGAAAGAAATATCATATAAATGTCTTTTTAGAACTTTCCGGGAGTAGTATAGATTACTCTGTGGCTTACAGCTAAATAGGGAGCAACTCAAAGATAGGAGATAATTCAGTTTGGACTGAGAGCAGTATTCAAGCAATAGAAATTGCAGCCTAACTTCCGAGCAGCACAATGTACAGTACAGGAAACACACCAATTCAATAATATCCACTAATAACATGACACTCTATCAAACACTTAGAAAGGACATGGATGGAAAATCTGTGAGGAAATTCCTCAGTAAGGACCTGTGATTAGGACAATAATGCTCCAATGGAATACCAGGCAGAAGTCATTCTTAATCATTCCCAGTGAATATTCAAAAGGCTCATATTCCTGTTGGCAGTGGTTACGATTATGAAAGAAATGGACCTGAGAGTAGTTATGGATTCCTGTGTATGATGTTGTCATAAAAGGAACAAGTTAAAATCACAATGTGTTATTGTAACCTCAAGGGAGCTAAGCCATCACTAGATCCTTAACATAATGGAATAGGAACTGCAGTTGATATTTGTTGTATCAATTGGATTTGCTTTTCATACACATCATGCCATTGTCAGCAGTTATAGCAGGTGATTTATTGCATGTCTGATGCAGCCACTATTTCTGGCTCCTTAAATCTTTCATAGAAGGCCATGGGTTTGTGTTTGTGGAACTAAAATACAGTTAAGTATGTTTTATTAGGGGAAGCAGTTGGTGAGATAGAATATTAAAATGGCCTTTTGAAAATAAAAATCACTGAATTAGGTAAAATCCAAAAGCTGTAGATGGTGCAATATTATCCATATCTGAATACCTGATTTTGAAGCTGTGAAGTAAAGCCTTCAGTTGCATTTAATATTCACTATGATAGTCCATTTGAGGTGTGAACATGGCAAAGCCACAGGGTGTGTAGTTATTTGATGCTGACCAAACTGTGTATTTTTCCAGTAAAGACGGCTTTAGATGAGAGTAACATTGATAGACTGAGTAAAGCCTTTCATAATGTTGCTGTACCTTATCCAATCAATAAAGATGTAAGTAGATCCGAGTCTGACACTTCCATGGGTAAAAGAGAAATCCTAAAAAGAAGATGATTTACAGATAGATAGAAAATAGATGTTAGTCAGGCAGATAGATAGATAGATAGGTAGATAGATAGATAGATAGGTAGATAGATAGATAGATAGATAGATAGTAGATAGCTGATAGATAAATACTAATATTTTCATGTTTGAACATTTTGTTTCCCATCTTGGTCTTCAGCTCATGTGGTTTAGAAGATTTAAAACCAAAGGGGTGGAGGAGAGAGAGAGAGAGAGAGAGAGAGAGAGAGAGATAGGAGTTCTCATGAAAGACAATAAAATTGATATTGAATAGGATATTCTTGCCATTTGACAAACAAGCACTGAGAAAATAAGAATATTCTCTTATTACTCCTCATTTACCCAGGGAAACTGGTTTGCTACTTAACAACAGGAAGGGAGAATGTCCTTACGGAATCTCTACTCTCATCTTTGGTTTAGCCATTATGGCCTAAGTTACACAGAGAGCAAGCTTAAAATTTGAGTGGCAAACACCTTAGCAGTTTTCAAATCACTCTTTTCTTAAAGATTAGGATAACCAGGCACTCTTTACTCTCTGATCCAAGATAATAAAAGAGTCAATATCTAAAATACAGCAGGCCATTATGCTAAAGGAAAAGAAAATATGGAAAAATCCTGCCCATAATTTAACATGAGAGAAAGCTATACATGCCAAATCTGTGAAATAATAAGTATGTGGAACAAAAACATTTGGAGTCAATTCCTCTCAATAGTCCTTGAGGCTGCTTTTTTAATCGTAGTTTGTTTGCATAAAAATGTCCAGATTCCTATCATTCCAGAGACATCATTTTTATTCTCTAACAATGCAATGAGCAACCTCATGATTTTCTTATAAATTTTATTTGGATAATAAACCAGAGTATATTTCTTTTGGTTATTTAAAAGTCATCTAAATATTATATTGAACTTTATAATTTATTAGAAATATACAAACAAAAGTAAGAATATTTTTTCAACTATCAAATTTATAGAAAAATAGAAATTGCCAAGATATTAATAAGAGAATTCAGAATTATATACATTATCTGGGATCACAGTTTAATAGAAAATTTCTTATGACAGGTAGAGACACTGATATAACTTTGATATAACAACACTTTTGCCTATAGTAGTTTATTCTATGAAAATGTTTGCATATGCTTTCCAAAAATACATAAACAAATTTAGCATATTTAGCAATATAGGAGAAACAAAAACCTCTTAAATATTTGCCAGTGAGAAAATAATGGAAAATCTTATGAATATCATGAAGCTTTTAGGATTAATAAAGCTGAAAATATCTGATAAAATGAAAAAATGCTCATATGTTTTAAATAGTTTCAGAAAAATGCAAAAATATATATCTCAAATTATATAAAACTATATTCAACATACTTGATTGTGCAAGGTAAATAGGTATACAAACAGACATTAGCTTATATATGCATATTAGTTTTTTTGAGAAGGTATCTAATCACAATGTTTATCCCTGAGAAGTGGTAGTTTGCAATGTGGAGTTGATAACTTACTTTCTCAATAATATTTCCTGCACTAGGTGATTTACAATTATTTTATATACAGATAAAGCTTTCATTTTTATACATTAAAATGGAGGATAAATTGGGTGCCTAAATTGAGAGAGAAAAATCAAACAAATACTTGCATTGCCTATTTAGTTTAGTGGCCATAAAAAAGAAATGAGAAATCAGTGCTAAAATTAATGTTAAAGTGTGTCTACATAGATCAACAAAGTAGCCATAGTGTCACTATTCATTAATGAATATTACTATAAATACTATTGGTAATGCACATTTATTGAGAGCATATTAAACACCTGTTATAAGCTACACAGTTATCATCCTATTTAATTTCACAACTACTGTGTGAGATAGAATAACTCCTGTTACACCCAAGACAAGGAACAGAGGTTAAATCATGAAGCTAATAATAGACACAATCAGTAAACATTGGGTTTAACTAGAAATATAAGGAAATTCTGGATTAACTGAGTTTGTGGCCATCTTCAGCACTACTAGAATAGCGAGCTACTTCTCTGACTTAACTTGGCTTTCCTACACTGGGACTTCCAGCCTTTGGCTCTCATACCTGCAGTCTGATCAGCATCATCTCCTGTGGAGTGTGGAACTAGGTAAAGAGGACAGTCTGAGCTAGTTTCTGTGGGGCCTGAAGAAGGACATTCCACAGGTCACTGCTCACCACTGGAAACCTGCCCAGCTCAGTGGGCTGTACCACAAGTGAACAGAAGGAAAATTTGAATTCACTTAGGGAAATTATGCTAATTAGTTGTCTTTATTAACAGGTAACTTATATGTGCATATTAGATTTTTTTGAGAAGGTACCTAATCTCAATGTTAATATAATGGTTAACATAAGACATAATGGCAATGATTTTTTTTGGGGCTGTAGAATGAAATTTCTGTATTTGGTTTCTACATACTGAGAATGACTGGAAAGACATACTTTAAATCATAGTTTATTTGTGTGTTTGTTTTTTTCTTTTTCTTTTTGTATCAGAACACGTGTTCAGGTTACACAGCTCCTCTCTTTTCTGTGTGGCTGAATGCTTACTTTCATGTTGATAAAGAGAAAGAACACCAGAGGAAATAGATGACATTATTAATTTAACTAGGTCCAATTAATGGTCATTTATTTTAGTGTGTAATTATGGAATCAAAAATGTTACATTTTCATTGAAAACAGTTTCTAGAGAGCATACAATCTCCAAAAATTGTCCTGGACTTTTGTTGGCTCTCTTTATTTGACAGCAGATCTTTCACACTTAACAAATAAAATTTTAAAAAAAGAGTATTTCTTCAAAAATAGCTTAGGAGAGTAAGCACTTGCCTAGTGTATTTGTATATGTGTTAGTGTTATTAATTATAATGATTATATTATTTCACAATATTTACAAGTTGGAAGGGTCGACTTGAAATGACATTAGCTATTTTGGAATGCACTATATTTTCTTTTTTTGTAGTTGACATTCGACATATGTAGATATTGATCTGGCTGCTTGTATTCCAATGACAGATTTGTAGATCTGTCAGTTTATTTAGTTACTATTATATAGTTGATAGTAATGATTCTACTTACCCTGGCATTGGTCCATTTCCAGAAAGACTGTAGACCTGACGAGGATTTAGTAGATACTGGAATTTTCTGTAAATACTGTAAAGGCAAACATACAGAGGGAAAGAGGGTGTTTAGTGACATCCAATAATAATTATTAATTAGTAATATTCCTTAGTGTTATAAACATACATGGTTATAATGAAAGACGTTTGGTAAAATTTGCTTTAATTATACAAGAAATATAACAGTTCCATATTAAGTAACAATACTCAGAAAGGACTTGCCATTCTAAAGGCAATGTAGCTAAAAGTTCCAAATAAGGCTTTCATTCTAAATATGCAAATGCATTTAGAATTTGCTATGAATCCCTTTCAAACATTATTTTGTTAACTGAACAGATTTTACATGAACATTTTTATATTTCAATATAAAATTTTTAATGTCTTCTCTTAATTGACAATTGTGAATATATTCTTCTTTCCACATATATTCAATATAGTCATTGGAACAAACTAAGGGAGATAACAATTTTTTATCTATGCACAAAGTGGGATTGCACAATTTGCATCCATATTATGTAGCTATGTATATGGAGAATGTAGCCTCACTTTACCTAATCATGTCACATAAACCATGATTGTCACCCATAATATCATAAAAATTCTAAACTGTGAGCATTCAAATATTAAAGATTTTTTCTGAAATAACTATACCTTTATATAACAAATGAGACAGGAATAGTTGCAAGCACACAGATATTCTTATGGTTGTAATTCTCAGAAAGAAATATTAAAGTGAAAGGATGCTCTTGTTTTTTTAGGGATCAGTATGAGTATCCATCTAGACAGTCTAGTATATGTATTTTACACCTATTGATATGATGTTTACTCACAGAAACTCTAAGCTCACAACATTACCTGACCCTAAATACACATTCTAGGTCTTGACTTATTACATGACCTATTATCTCAAGGAAAAATTTAAAGAATATCATTCTCAATGGTTCTTTTCCTGGTACATGAACCCCTTTCGGGGACAATCCCGTTCTCCTGTGGGAGAAATGCCTGTCCGTGATGGTATTCCTACTCACTCCATGAGTTCAGGCACCAGCTCCTCTCACCAACAGTACATGATTCTTCTCTTGATTTTTTAAGACAATGTCTCATTATGGAAACCAGACTGGCCTAGAACTCTCATTCCTCCTGCCTCCACCGTTCAGATTCTAAGATTTTTTTTCCGGGATGTGTCACCATAGCTGGCAGCTCTACCAAATTATTAGCAATCCAGGTCCATCCTTCACTGATGTGTAAGTGTAGTCATGGTGGAACGGTTACAGGAAAGACATCTTTCTGAGATGGACATAGGTAATCTTTGTCTCTCCTGCTAGACTTTAACCTGGGGAAAAACCTTCTGAATTAACTCTATGGCCATGAATCTGTCTTTCTCCTTCATCTGGTGAACATCTCCCAATGTAACAACCAATAAGCAAGGTAGTTCTTCTTTAAAGACTCCCCACATTTCATAGGTGTTTTTGCTCCCCAACTTCTACAAGCACTTTTAACATTTCTTCTTTAGCATATGATATCATAATGTATCTGTGTACTGCCTTACCCCCATACCCTTGTGCCTTATATGTCTTACCACAGTACCCATCACACTCTGGGTTGGCCTAACGGGGCGATTTCTGAATGGATATGTGAACATTTCCACACATTTGGCTATTATGGAAAACTGGTGGAAATATACAATTCTGTTGCTTTGTGCAATGCATTTGGCATATCTAAGCCAATAAGTCCAAAAAATTTAAAAGGAAAACAGTATATGAAATCTCATTGTTAAAGGTGCCTCCTGTGGAGGAAAGTTTATACTTACATTCCTACTACAACTCTTTTAAAATATATTTACATTTCCTTTGGCTTTGAATGATTTCAGTCTGTGTAGAGGATGAAACACAAGTTACTCAGAAACCAGAAGCCCTCAAATTAGCTACTCTCTGCCTATTAAATTTAATTTCCTTATGACTTCAGTGTCTCTCTAACTGATTTTTTTAAAGTTAGAGAAAATATATACTAGAATAATGGGAAGGAAGATATTCAGTTATTTTACATGATTTATGCTATCATAATTGAGAGCAATGCATTTTCCTTTGAAATTTCACTTTTAATTTTGATTCCATTAAAACTCCATTTGTCATTGGTGTCCACGGCAATTTTAACTCTTGCCTAAATCACTGTGAAAAGTTTACTTTTTGTAAAAAGAAAGATACATGTACTTTGGGGTTTTTTCCCCTGTGCTTTTGGGAGTCTTGTCTAGAAAATTTTTGTTTATTCCAATGTCCCATTTCTTTCTCTGTTTTCTCTTCAACTTATTTTGTAGTTTTTAAGTTTTTGACATTTAAGTTTTTAATTTGTTTTCAGTTTTTTATAACTGGATGATAAATATAGTTTATTATTTTGCATATGCATCAGTGTTTCCACCATCATGTATTTACAATACTGCTCTTTTTTTTAATGCATGCTGTTAGTAGCTCTGTTGAAAATTATTTGGCTGTAAAGTGAGAGTATATTCCTAAACTCTTTTCTGTTCCATTAATCTACATGTATGCCTATATCTAATTCTAGTTCCATGAGTGTCTTCTTGTTTAGAAGTCCTTTTCAGTTTCTTTTCATAGATATTTCTTAATTTTTACTGTAGAGATCAATGGGTTTAATTTGTCTCTAGTTGTTTTAGTAGCTATTATAAATGTGATTACTTTTCTGACAGCTCTGCATAGGATTTTCTGTAGTGTGTTGAATTAAAGTAGTGAAAATGGGCATGCTTGACTTCTTCCAGATCTTAGAAAGTCCTTAGCTTTAACCCTCATTGTAGGATGCTCGCTATGGAATTCATATAAATATAAAAGAGTGTGTAGAAAGCTGTATAGGTGTGATCCTCCTATATCTAATTTGTGATGAAGCAATGGCGAATTTAGTCAAATGCTTTTTCTGTTATCTATTGAATGATTTTATTAGCAAAAGAGATTGCATCAAACTAAATAGCTTCACCACAGAAGAACCAAAGAATAGATATCTATGGAATAGGAGAAACATTTACAAACTAATCATGAAAACATTTTAATTTTTTTTCTTTGCTAAATCACTAAGGAATTTTGTTTTACATGCAATGTTTTTGTGTGAGTGCTTTGATCTGTTGGGTTATTTTTGATTGGAATTAGGGAAATACATCTACATAGCAGTGAGGCAGGTCCAGCTACCTTTTGGTTAAACTTTCTTCGTTAGTAAGACAATTTATTCTTCAATGTGGTGACTTCCTGATTGTGGTGTTAAAAATTATTAAATCCTTAATCTATTATAATAACAAAATTTTGTGTTCCTGAGTTAGATGGTAATTCAACTCATTATTATTCAAATAAAAGGTACAGAGCTTCACTAGGAAATATGGCATGATGCACCCTAAAACACATACACAGAAAATCGCTATAGTATATTCTACCTAGCAAATAGATATAAATCTGTCTTCTGGTACTGTGTTATGTTTTACCAAAAGTCATCTTGTTGACCATTTAGACATCTAAATTTCATTTTATAGTATCTACGAAGCCAGGTTTATTCAAATATCTTCATTATTACTAGGGGTGAGAGGTGTGGTAGAAAAAATACAAAAACCTTATATTAAGATTTTCAACTACAAGAAAAAAGATACCAGTATATTATATACAGGTTCTAGCATCATATGAAAATGACCAAAAGTGAGTAGCATTTTAGATAATTTTACTTCACAAATTTAATTTTTATTTTATAATTATAATACAAAAATAGATATTTAAAATCATACCGTTCTCCTTGCTTCCCACCACTTTTGGGGTTCACAAAGACTAAAAGTGGGTGAGTACCAGGAATAGGAGTGATCTAGAAAAAAGAAAAGTTGGATATATAGACAAATTACTAGGCATATGGTATATGAATAAGAGTCTTTGTTATTTTCACATCATAAAGCACCGGTTCTTGGCTTCAGAAATTTGACTGTACATTTCTGCAGTGTGCACCAATAGGGTCATCACTTGTACACAAAGAGGAGATTTGGATGAGATTTGTAATGGTAAGGAGATGAAAACGGAAGTGACAATGGTCGGTAGGTTAGACAGAATAAAACAGACTGTGGAGGAGAATGTGGAGGAGAGGAAGTGAAGAACAATTTGCAATTACACAAAAGCTTTTGTTTATAAAGATTATTCTCAAAGTAGAACATTGTGGCCTAGTTTGTGAACTAGACACAAAAATAATGTGTGGGACTTGTCTCAACCTAAAAGTCTCTCTCTGCAGACTATCTTTGCTACTTTCTTAGAGTGCTAAGTTTTCAGGTTAATTTTCTAAACAATAATTTGTTAAGTATTGCTTTTTCCTCACTGGAAAAGAATTGAATGCTATCTATTCACATAGCATTTGTCATGGACCTCCACTAACTTTCATTGCCATAAAAGGAAAGAAAGCAGGAAGTGTGGCAATATATCACATATTTTAGCAAGAGTGGTAAATAATTCTTATATTTTACCTATTTTGAAATGAAGGTATGGCAGATTATTTGAAAGATATATATATATATATATATATATATATATATATCATTTAAGTTAAACATACACAAACACATATCGCTACATGCATCCTAGCTAAATAGTACCTGACATAAGTATTAAAAAATACTTTACTATAAAAATTTTATGCTGATGCTGACACTCTCTAAATTTTAAGGTAAACAGTTTTAGATACATCTGCTCTTTAAAAATAGATTGCCAGTATCCATTATACAATGATATTTTCCCCCTAGAAAGTGTACATAATTATTTAATTGGATAATAGAAAACAATTTTACCACATGTGACCTTCCTTCTTGTCCGTTTAAATAATAAGATAATATATTCTACTAAGGAAATGTCCTCAAAATCTTAAGTTAAGTGACAACAGTTCAAAAATGTTTTAAAAAATCACATTAAACAAACAAGAAGGTGGAATATGATATAGCTCACTTTTCTACTGTTCTCATTTGCCTCTCATTGCAATGTATCATTGTCTCTGTTTTAGTTCCTTTGGTAAAAAGCAAAGAGTTATTCTTCCTAAATTTGCCTTTGTATCAGGAATAAGAAGTGTAAGATGGAGAACACTCAGCAGAAACATCCTATCTCTCTGCTGAACCAAATGCATCCAACAATTAATGCATATCAGTCATCTACTACCCTGCCATCATTGTGTTATGTGAGTAAGGCCTGATCTCTTCACCCACTGAAAAATCAAATGCGTTGTCATAAAAAATATCTGTAATTAAAGACTACTACTCCCCAATTTCCCTGGTTACTCTTCCTATTGTAAAATTGGAACTCCTTAATATATCACATGCAAAAAGTAATACTGATATGTATAATCTATTTGATAGTTTATATTAATGTGAACTGTTATTCTTTGTTTATAAGTTGGTGTGTGAATATCTAGGCAAATGGTTTCTGAGCAAAGTATTAAATCTGAGCCTAAATTCTCATGATTATATTTGTTTCTCATTTTTCCATTTTTCCTCAAAGTCACTATACCTCACTGTATGAGATGACATACAGCGTCACCCAGGGTTTGATATTTGGGTCTTTTGGAAATATTTTTTGAAATTTATTTCAGGGATATTTATGTATGGAATGCTAAAAAGCATCATTATAATTTATCAAATAAAGCAATCATCACTATACCAATATTACTCTAAACTCTGTATTATTAGGAACAAATAAACATCTCACTAAAACATATTGTAGTCTGTGAAGTATCACAAAATAATATAGAGTCTAATTAGTTGGAGGGATAAATCAAATGACCTACAAAATTAGCAGGGGCCTTAAAGATCTTGGAAAAATAATATCACAAGTAATGAAGCCAGGTCCTTAAGATGTAGAATGAAGAATAATAAAAGTCATTTAGCAACATCTCTTTACATAGCCTATTATCACAAATCAGGTATATAAAGTTAGCCAATATGAAAGTATCATTGGGTATGATAGATTTGTGACCATGGGCACTTGATCTAATGTAAACCATGTAATATGTAATAAAATTGACATTTAAGAGGTGATAAGTGATTAAGTAAAGAAATTTAAACGAGACTCAGGGAGGGGCTTCAATGCATACATAGTAGTGTTTGGATTACAAATATCAGAATTCAGGCAAATCTGTCATGATTTCCTATGCTCACTCAATAAGTTTTAAAATCATACTAACCTTTGAAACTATAAAAAGAAGGCCCAACTCATGGAATAAATCTGGGTGCCAACCAGAGACAGAATTCTCATTTTGAAAGCCAAAGACCTGCGGTAGTACATAGTCATTTGCAAGTCTGACAAGTTAAAAATAAACAACTACTGAGTTCAGTAGTAGTCTGAAACATGCAGCAATATCTTAGTGGCAGAATTTGCCATTGGATCTCAACTGTCACATTCTCCTTTTCCGCAAGTAAAGAAACTCTAGGTATAGAGTAATATAGAAAGCTTATTCCCTCCTTCCTATCAAATCTGTATTTTGGAACCTGCTTGCTGTTCCTCATAGGTCTTTTGATGAGCTTTAAGAAGGCACAGAATCAGAAGGAAAAGGGTCAAACAGTGCATTAGTGGAGCGCGCTGGACATTGCTGAAAGTGAACTATACAACTCATGGGTGGAGATGGGAGGGAGGGAATGGGAGAGAAGGAGGGAACAGATGACACTGTACGAGAAGAAATGTACTTATTACCTGACACAAGTATATCATCTGTATATCTCTATAGTAACACCAAAGTAAATGAATAATTAAAAAATAAAAAAGAATTTGTAACTTTGGTGTCTTGTTGGGCAAGAGCATAAATGAATACAAATAAAAAGCTTTAAAATGTATCTATGTTTAATGTGGGAGATATATTGGAAGCTCTTCTCTCTCTCTCATTCTTTCCCTGTCTCTTTCTGTCTCTGTCTTTCTCTGTCTCTCTCTCTCTTCTCCTATCTCCTCCACAGAGAGAGAGAAAAATGGTCATCTATACACATAGTTAAATGGTGGGTATTTTACAAGCTAAAAGAAGAAACCTTAGAATGAATCACCCAGAATGTTCCTTGATCTTGGACTCCACAGCTTCTAGAACTGAGAAATAAATGCCTCTTTTTTAAACCACCTACTTTATAGGATAACTTCATTTGAGTCCAACTACTCAAATGTGGATATGTTGTAGGACAACTCGTCATATACCTTTATACGGCATAAACAAAGCTTCTTCCGTTCTTCCTGATACCAGCATGGGCTCTGGAGATTATAAGGAGGAGTAGCCCATTTAAATGAATAACATTGAAGACTCCCAAGGTTGGGGTACCAGTCCTCATAAAAACTTGGAATTGTCTTTGACTCTGAGACCTTATCCGGACTTCATTTACATGACACAAAACTTAATGGCTATTTTAATAAGGCATTGTTATATTTACAAAACCTAAATGAAAGTGGTTTGAATGAAACCAAAGTTCCACAGGCTCAGACTTGGATAATAATGGGATCAGCTATAGAGATTTACATTATTCTTCATCAAGCATATTGATATGTCTATTGCCTTGGGGAAAATAATAAACATATTAAATCCTTTGAGTAATCTTAATATCTTTATTTTACATTATGGTACTGTAATTATTTAATGGGAATACTCATTTTCCCAGTCAATCTTTTTGTAACTTTAATAGTGTACAATAAAGGAAAACATTTCAGCTATGTACTCTTTTTGATTCCAGATAATAGTTTCCGGAGGTCAATCAGGTAAAACTTCCTTTCCTGTATTGTGCTTGAATACCTATTGATCAGAGGAAAAAAAGCAACTATTTTCTTAGTTTCTGATACTAATATAATTAAGATTTGGTGAATAAAATTTTATGAAAATACCTCATTTGTGTTTTTAAATTTTTTTCATTGATATTTTATTTTTTGAAAGAATTTCAACTTCACAGAGCAGGTGCAAGCACTATACAAAGAACTTTTCCCTTGAACCACCTGAAAGAAAGTTACCAAAATTAAAATTTATCAGTTCCATTTATTTTAGCACTGTCTTCCCATAGGAAAGGCACACATACTCAATACTGTCTTCAGACTCAGTTAATTAATATGTTCCTGGTCTAATTCTTTTGCTTAATATACATTGTTGGGACAGTGGTAAAACACGTGGAATGGGGGAAGTAAGCCAGGTAAGAGTGTTGTATTCTTTCTAGTATTGCATGTAACATATCCTTTAGCGTGTGAATCTATAATTTTATTCTTATATGAAAATTTCAAATCATACTACAAAACTCATTTATTCCGAAAACGGATGAACTGTCAACCTAAAATACTGTACCTTCTTGTGTTACAGTCTTTTATGAAATAGTAAACAAAAGGAGAAAAAGAAATACATAGAATATTTTGTCAGCCTAAAACTTGATCTTTCTTAGAACTTCATATTCTTTCGGAATTTCAGACAATCTGAAAATGGAACAACAAAGTATATCAGATGAAATCTAATATGATCTCCTGGAAGTAAGGAATGACCCTGAGCTAATTCTCAATCCACCATCACTTCACCTCTGTGTTTGAGGCACTTTACACAATTTGTGTCTTCTCAAGATAGATTGTTTTGTTTTGTTTTTGGGTCCAGTCGTGGGGCCTGAACTCTGGGCCTGGGCGCTGTCCCTCAGCTCTTCAGCTCAAGGCTAGCGCTCTACCACTTGAGCCACAGCGCCACTTCCGGCTTTTTTCTTTTTGCTTATGTGGTGCTGAGGAATCGAACCCAGGGCCTCAGACATGCAAGGAAAGTGCTCTACCACTGAGACACCTTCCCAGCCCAAGATAGATTTTTTTAAAGTATTAAACTGGAATGAGTGCTGGTGTTTTTCACAT